GACTTCTTTTGCCCAACCCCCCCCCCCCCCCCCACCACTGCAACCTCTGACTTTGTGACTTTCAATATTGCAGTCTGTTCACTGTGGTTGAGTAGTCTGAGAAAATTAAAATTATTCATCCTGTGTGCAGCAGGCTGACAGCATCATTTTTTTGAGGATGGATTTCTTATTCCATGCTCCTTGGTTTGCATTCCTCTGGTGGCACAAAATTTGCGTTCTGCTCTCCGCTTTCTGTCGGTGGTTTTGGACCAGCTCCGTAAGGAGGTTGCCTTGGGCCATATGGAGGGTCCTTTTTCTGTTCCCCCACTTCCAGATTTGGTGGTGTCACCGTTGGGGGTGGTTCCCAAGAAGGAACCGGGGAAGTTTCGGTTGATTCACTATCTCTCTAACCCTCTGGGGTAGTCGGTGAATACAGCCATCGACCCTCAAGTCTTAGCGGTAACCTATACTCCTTTTGACATGGCCGTCTTTTGAGTTTGTCGTTATGGTCAGGGGTCCCTGTTGGCTAAGTCCGATGTGGAGTCTGCTTTTCGTTTCTTGCTGGTTCATTATCATTATCTGTTGGGTTGTCACTGGATGGGGGGGTTTCTTTGTGGATCGTTGCCTGCATATGGTCTGCTCTATTTCCTGCACTTTCTTTGAAGCCTATAGTAACTTTTTGGAATGGGTGGTACAGGAGGTGGCTGGGGTTAATTCCGTTATTTATTATTTTTATTACTTTCTGTGTGTAGGCCCCCTGGGTTCCAGGGAGTGTAGGTTATTTCTGATTACTTTGCAACACGTGGCAGAACGCTTTGGGGTTCCTTTGGCGGCTGACAAGACGGAGAGGCCATCTACGGTCTTGAGTTTTTTAGGGATCATGATCGAAACAGAGAAGATGGAGTGTTGGTTACCACAGGACAAGCTGGTGGCCCCCCTTTGGGATGCGGTGGCAGATGCTGGACGCCGGCGGAAGATTCGGCTGCGGGACCTGCAGTTCTTGTTGGGTAAGTTGAACTTTGAATGTCGTATCATTCCCATGATTTGTGTATTTTGCCGGCGACTATTGGCGGCAACCTCGGATGAGCGGTCTCCTAGGCACTTTATTCGTTTGACTTGCAAGCACTGGAAGGATTAGCAGGTTTGGTTGGTGTTCTTGGATTCCTACAATGGATGGTCACATCGGTAATAGTGAGTTGGACCTTTTTACGGATTCCTCGGGTTCGGCTGATTACGTCGCTTATTTCCAGGGCCGCTGGAGTGTGGCGTCGTGGCCGGACTCTTAGGCAGTGGTGGTTTTTCTGGGGAATCATGTCCTCTTTGAGTTGTTTCTGATCACCTTGGCAGTGGAGCTGTGGGGCCCCCTTCTTCTAGATAAGCAGGTGCGATTCTATTGTGACAATTTTGGGGTGGTGATGGTGTTTAACAACATTTCGGCATCTTCGCCTCTGGTGATCCGCTTGTTGCGTCATCTGGTGCTGTCTTGCATTTGAATGTTTTTGTGTACGCGGTTCATATTCCGGGTTCTGTTAAGTTGGCAGATGCTTTGTCTCGCTTTCAGTGAGAGGAGTTTCTGTGCTTAGCGCCTACCTTGTCCCCAGAGCCTGTAGCAGATCGCCTTGGAGTCGTTGCTGGTTTGATACGGAAATCGATGAGTGAGGCCATGTGGGGGGCCTACTCAAAGGTTTGGGGGGACTGGTTTGCCTTGCAGGATAGTGTTGGCGTTCTCAGGTCTGAACGGAAGCATGTATGTCTTGTGCTGTTTTGGATTAGTGCAGTTTTGTGGCTGCGGTGTCGATATGGGGGGGATAGGCGATTGGCGGGCCTGGCCTTCTTGTTCAAATAGATGGGGTTGCCGGACCATAGTAAACAGTTTTTGGTGCGACAGGCGGTGAAGGGTTATCGTACGGGGCACCGGCGTGTGGATTCCAGGCGCCCGGTGTCCTTTTCTCAGTTGCTGTGGATTCGGGACCAGCTGGCATCTACCTGTGTGTCGCAATACAAGGTAGTGTTGTTTTGGGCAGCCTTTTTGGGGGCTTTGAGGATTAGTGAGCCCGGCGCGGGGTAGAGTTGGGGGTTTGCTAATGGGTGATGTGTCTTTGGATAGTGGGTCATTAAGCATGCTTATACGCAAGTCTAAGACAGACCAGAGGGGCAGAGGATTGCGGGTTGTACTGTCTCGCTGTGAGGATGTTCATCTGTGCCCGGTGGGGGCCATGGAGGAATGCGTGGCACCCGTGAGGGGGGCTTTGTTCATTCGGATGGGTCTGCGTTGTCACGGTTTCCATTTGCAACCGTCTTTCGTAAATGTAAGACGGCCTTGGGTTTTGATGTGGCTGCATATTCTTTCCACTCTTTGGGAAGAATATGCCTTGGGTTTTGATGCGGCTATGGAGGCTGCTCTGTGGGGCTTGGGGAGCAATTGGTGAAGCGTATCGGGCGTTGGGAGTCCAGTAGGTATCGCTTATATGTTCAGCCTCATTTGGTGTAATTGGTTGTCACCTTTATGTGTTCTCAGTTTGTTACCTGCTGATAGTGTGGGGTTTGAATTATATATGTTTAATTTCTTATGTTGTTTCAGGTCTTTGTTGTCTTTGCCTCATCTGGATTTTGGGGCATTCATACGTTTCCTGGGGTGCTCGTAGGGTCAAGGTACGTCCAAATGGCAGGGAGTTGGGGTTTGCTCGGGAGGAGGCTTTGGTTCGTTGGATTGGGGTGCCCGGGTTGCAATGGAGTAGTTTGGTAGCGGAGGTTCACTGTTTTTCACAATTGGATAGGCCCCCCGACGTGTTGCTGATCCATGTGGGTGGCAATGACATGGGGTTTCGTCC